GCTCATTGGCAGAAAATTTATAACTTTTATGACTTTAATATAGCGTTGATTTATTAATGAACTGAAGTTTAATACTGGTTAGTTTTTGCTTTGCCGTTCACTACAGGACATAGTCATATGCCCCTGAACTTCTATTGTTTCTGCTGTAATATTGTTATCTATAATTTAAACACGTAAGTATCTAAACTTCAATATTTTAAAATTAAAATTAAAAAAACTGTGAAAATGTATTAGAGTTTTCTCAAAAAGTCTGTAGACTTTTTGTTGATACTTTTGGTTTTTAATGTTATACAAGGCAGATATTTGACCGCAATCGCACCTGGTGTTAAGTGAGATGCAGTCTAGGATGGTACATATCTGCCCTGTAAGTGCCTATTCACTCTCGCCTTGAAAAGGCCCGGATTAATAGTGTTCAGGAAAGACAGGAATCGGCCGATATCAAATCGGTGTAATGTGCGTACTTTCAACATGTTCATACTGCCGACGAAAAGTCTGTGGGTCCCCCCTTAACAAAATCAATTATTGTGAATAATAGTAAAATTCTGAATAAAAGTCTCAATTGTAAAAAATGCTAAAAATCTCACTAGACCAGTTTTCCCTTAGTCCTGTGATCTTTATTCTAGGGGTCAGGCCTTCTATAACATTATGTGAAAACTGTGAAGTAAACAAAAAACACGTTTCATTCAGATACGCACTATTGTTGTTTCTCCATTTCACATACAGCTCAACAGGTTTTTTTCTCTTACGCTCGCCCGTATTCACAAACATTACTATGAGGTCTCACAGTGCGCGTGGACGTACACTACGTACAGTATCACACATTAACTAATCACAGAGCTCTATTCAACGCTATGCGTTCGATCTGCTGCTTCACTTAAGCAAGCATCGTTTGTGACTAAGGGTGTTATTTTACTTATTTTATTTATTAACACCAACAAGACATACCTACACCATTTTAGACAATATTACTTGTGTTGCTCACGTCATTTCTATTTTCCCCAAAATCAGGGTAACCTCCCCAACCTGGCAACCCGGCTCGGTATTGGGAAACAGCAAATGGTCATATTAGTCCCATTGCTGACCAATATGTCCCACCATATAAAGCTGTGCTGAGCTATTGTTCGCGAGGGAAAATTAGGCCACGAGACGTTTTCGGTGTGTACTCGACTGTTTTCGTTCAAAGCTCGGTGTTGGGTTTGAATTTTTGTCCAGGTGGAAGTGTTTTGAGAACAAGTATGTAATACTAGCTTTCCGCCCGCGGCTTCGCCCGTTTGGAATTTTGTCTGTCACAGAAAAACTTTATCACGCGCGTCTCTGTTTCAAAAACCGGGTTAAAAACTATCCTATGTCCTTTCCCGGGACTCAAACTATCTCTATGTCAAATTTCATCAAAATCGGTTCAGTGGTTTAGGCGTGAAAGCAAGACAGACAGAGTTACTTTCGCGTTTATAATATTAGTATTGATGTAATGTAAAGTTATGTAGTTCTTAGCTTGACGGATTCCGACTGAAATGTCGTATAATCTTTGTTTGAAGAAGAGAATTCGAGAAATTACTAATCTGAAGATTGGTCTTATTTTGAGTTGATGAAAATCAACTCAAATCCTAGATTTGATATTACTTTAATGGAGTTCGATTAACTTTGATCATTTGTCGACTATTGGTAGCTGAGTATAATGTACAAAATGTACATGTACAAGGAAAGTCTACGTATACTTTGTTTGCTTCAAGCTTTTTAGCTTTTTCGGCACATCAAGCTATTTTGCTACAATATTTTGAAGTCTGATGTTTGTGCTCTCTGTTCATATCTTCTATTTTATTATAATAATTATCAACATGCTTACATGCCCTTTGCCAGGAACTTTTCAAGGACATTTTCTTCTATCATCTTCATCATCATGCCCTTTGCCAGTTCTTCCGCAAAACATAGGAAACATTCTTTGCCTATATTGGAGGTGTTTATTTAAATTAATTGATTAATTTGTATGTATTATACTCGTAGCTCGGGCAACGCAAGGCTGATACACATTGCTGGATGGTGAATAATTAGATGTATTAGTTTGTTTACGGGTTTGTTATGGTTAGTTAATAGTTCAGTGATGAAACAAAAAGCTAATTCTTCAATTTCAACTATGATGTTTCGCTGTCCTTAAAAGTTAAAATATTTGAACTATATGATTGTATAGTGCTTGTAAAAGTTATCAAAACTGATCAAATATTAGTTGTGCCAATATATAAAATGGCTATGGCTATTAACTTTTAAGAATATAGAGGACATCCATGAATATGTTGCGAGGTGCAAATGTTCGAACTTGTCATATAAAATTTTGACTTTTTGGGGAAGTGTGTTTAATTGACTAAAATAACCTACTTACCTTTCCCGCCTCTCTAGTCAGTGTGGGGAGTTCAGGCCAAATCCTCCATTTGCCTCTAGCAAAAACGGGCAAACCTGACCTTCACTGGTTGGGTTGTTGGCGGTCAAGCTGTAGATCCTGGCTACACAGGAGTTGCAGCGGTGGGAACGAGAGGTGGGCATAGTCCCGATGGTTGGGTTTTGTTGGCGGTCCAGCTGTAGATCCTGGCTACACAGGAGTTGCAGTGGTGGGAACGAGAGGTGGGAATAGTCCCGTTAATCAAGTGCCGTGCTCCTGCAGTGGAGACTAAATGACCTGATGATGATGACCTCTGCTAAGGTAAATCAGGTTAATAATCTCAATCTGCTTATTGAGTTTATTCCGGCTGTACTTTGCAGTGATTCTATATTCGCATGATAATATTAAAATTATCACTTTATTATTTGTTTTGCACAAGGCAAACCGCAAGTCCGACCTATATAGGATCGCCATTAAAATTAATTACGATTTTATTGAAATATTATTCATTGAAACAATAAACCTGAACGGGTATCGTAGCGGGGTGCCCTGTAATGTTTGTGTGCATTTGTTTTGATTTCTGTTTATACCAATATTCATTATAACAGTGATAAATTTATCTTTAATATCCCTTACATTAACTTTTGCGTTATTAACAGTACATAAAGATTATTTTTTTAACTCTACCTCAAAATAGCATTGTTGTGTTTCGGCAGTTGAAAGCAAGGTAGCCAGTTCGTCTGTGGTTGAGGATTCTGGGTGAAGCTCGTTTCCACCATTGGTCTAAGCATCATTTTCTAACATGATAGCTGAAATACATTGTTGAAGCCTGAAGGCAAGGTAGCCAGTTCCTCTGTCGTTGAGGATTCTGGGTGAAGCTCGCTTCCACCTTCGGTCTAATCATCATTTTCCATCACGATAGCTGAGTATAGTGTTCTATGGGAAATGGAATCATGGATCTTTGGAATCATTGACCCCTTGTTTAAATAAACTTGTGCACTTCTGAATAAATCATAATTTCATCTAAATACTCTGTTGGTTTATTTAGAAAACTCTTACAAGAAATTTATGTTTAAACAACGGAATCATAACCCAAACGTCAGTTTATCAAACCGTGAATCATTCGAATTATCTGTACCTACGATATATGTTTCAATGTTATCTCTAAGAGACTAAAAAATAAATTGATTTGACTTTATTTTTTAATATCTCTGCGGATCAAATTACAATTTACGAATTAAATTGATGACGTCAGCTTGTGACATCATTATTTTGTTATTTGTACACTTTGCAGTAACAATAAATTTGAATTATTTTAATGTGTAATAATGTGTAGGAGGTAGGCATTATCCAAGATTTTGCAAAAGTCCTTGCAACTCGCAACGAAAGTCTCGAAGTCAAGTCCTTTCACAGTCTCGAAATAATAGTTTAATAAGTAACTCCCAAAACTCCACCACCACTATAATATGACGTCATCGAAATTTAACAACTGCCATTAATAAAATTTTTACGACACCCGAGCACTTTTGTGCCAGTTATAAAACTTTTACATAGACTCTGTTATTTATTATCTTCAAAAAAGTCTTCATTTATCAAGGAGTTTTTTTTGTTAAAAACTTTTTAACCACTAATTGCCTTCGGATTAGCTTTCCGAATTAAAAAAAAAGTTTAGAGTTGGGCAACTTTAACCTCATTTTGTTGCGCTCGCAGCGCCCTAGCGGAGCGGAGGGGTGGCAACGTCGCGTTAATAGTGGTGTTGACAGCTGTAGGAGAGCTTTCGTTGCCTGGTTTTAGGGTAAATTCTTATTCTTTGGAATTGAAAGTTCTACTCGGTGAAAAAGTGCGAAAATTGTATTTTATCCTTTGTAATGTAATGTAGCTTTTTCTTATATGTAGTAGCAAAATAAAGATAAGCTGAAGTGATAAAGATGATAATATTAGATAACAGTGATATTTTTAAAGGTGTAGTTATAAAGTCGAATAAACATTATGTTACAGATAATCATTAACTATTATCGCCACCTGCGTAATTGGCAACAACACTATCATAATCACAATGTCACGATGTATCTTTTTATCAGAAAGTTCGTCATTGCTTTCAGTCTGTATCATAGTGATAATGTTTGATTTTCAAAAGTTATACCTTTTGACTGATAGCAATAACACCTGTTCAGGTGACCCATCTGGGGATAACCTTGTGTCGATAACAACTAATCCGTCAATATACTCGTAAAAATGCTTTGGTATTATTGTAAACATTTTGAAATATCGCTTCAAACCATTTCATCAACAGCGTATGTTTTTAGTATAGTGTAAATAATGTACTATTCATGAAGTTACGTTATTCAATAATTAATTTTACCAATAAGATAGAGAACTAATTTTCTTCTCTCTCACCAAATATGCACCACAATTCTATTCTTTTTTCTCTTTATTTGGGACAGAAACAAACAGTTACATTACTTTTATTATTACACCTGTAATTATTTTTATTTACGTTGAAAATTCGTCAATTTCTATCAGGAATTCGAAACTTTTTACATTTACTTCAGTTGCAAAACTTTGTCAGTCGGGTAATGTGTAACCCACGTATGGCAACACCGCCCGTTCGCGCGCCGCCATTGCCGCTCCGGCGACAGTAGTGCCCTCGCCGCGACGGAACGCGCCCGCCCGCGCGTTCGTCGACCAACTTGTGATGTAACTAACTTTACGTGCACCACGAAAACAGTGCAGTGTTTGTGATAAACAAATTTCATATACAAAAGTGACTGTGGATGTGAGTTTTGAAAGAAATGAGGGTATCTGTGTCCATGTGTTGTCTCTCTCTTTGTTTATAACCGACCGAGGACCGCGCGTCGTTCAAAAGTTCGAAATTCGAACTTTGCAGTGTTTTGTTTTTGGTCGAATTTTTTAAACTGGAAAAATGGTAAAGAAATATTTAAAAGAGTTTGAATGTGAAATATGATTCACACCACTTTGTTTGGATAAATTCCGAAATATAGACGACTCTACATAGTCCATTGTCGACAAATATCTGTTTAAAATATACCGTTTTAAAAATGAATTCGATATTGCAGAATCGAATAAAGATAAAATTACTAGAAGCAATAGACGAGACGTTAAATAAATAACATCTAACTGTGCACTAAATCGTCGTTATTTATTACCTTCAGCCACTTAAGTGGTCGCGCATCTTGTTTTAAAAATAGCTCAAATTGTCAATTGCTTCGTTTTCAAACATCGAAAGGTTGGAATTGATCGAAAATGATTTTTAAATCGGCTCAAAAAATGTAATAAAAAAACAATGATTTTTTAGAACCGAAAATAGAAACTTCCGAATTCGGGAGTATTTACCCTTTTTTCAATTTCAAATGAGTGGAACGTGACTTTTTCGTGCCGACATTTTGATTTAAATATTCAAGTTCACTTTCTAAATGTAACACATTTCATATCAAATCGGATGTTTATTGGATTATTCTGATACAGATATGATACATTACTTATTTCTGATTACTTTATTGTTATCAGGTTACGAATTATTTTCATTACTTTTCAATGTCTAGACAAAAGTTACGTCTCTCTAAAACGATTCGATTCTCGTGAAATTGCTCTACAATATTCTTTTTTACTCCTTAGAACTAAAGAATCCTGAAAATAAGGCTAAAAAATTCTTGTGGAGAAAAATATTACAGCTAATTATATTGAATCATTTATACCGCTTGTGTGATAAGCAGAATCAAGTGCTCTTTATCTATTTCATTCTGATCTATATTTAAAAAGACATAATCAGACCCCATTCTTGACAAAGAAATTTTGTGACAGTTTAATTTCAAAATTGCTTCTAGTTCTAGTACAAAAACGCTGGAGCGTTGGTTCTTCGAAATAGCTGTGGCTCATGCTGCTTTGTCTAGAAACGCAATCCACGTTAGTCCACTGCTGGACATATGCCTGTCTCAACGACCGAGATCACCGGCTATTCTTTTGTCCCAGACAGTCACCTTGCATTACCACCTTCTCCATAACACTGGAGATAAATTCAGCATCACTATCATTGTTATCAAAACCATCATGGTCAAACAATAGCTTAGCTCTTGCATAACTTTTTATCGGCCCCATTAACTATATTGTTTTAATTATGATGTCATCCGTATTATGATAATATCCAGAGATGCTACATGCCTCGGCGATGACCCATTTCGTTGTCAGGTTTGATGTATTCATCATAACTTTCAACTTTATTGAAATTTTCTTGGGCATGTTTTTTATAATCTGAATCTCTCGTCTTGTACTTTCTCAACACTTATCAAGTATTATACATTCTGCGTTATAATTACAGGAATCTTTCAAATGAGACGTTTTGAGTCGTACATCATTCAGTGGCCCGTTTGCAGGACTGCACTCGGAAAATTGCAATAACTGCTTTGCAATAAAAATGTCAATAACAACGGTTAGTGTGCGGTCTTGCAAACGCACGGCCTGTTTTCTTGTCCGAAATGTCTTATTCAAAAGATGGTGAAATCTTATTGAAAATATTGTGGTGCTAAAAACTATTAAATTGTAAAAAGAGCCATAAGAATACAATTAATTATTCACAGGCAAATAATTAACAATCTAAACAAAGAAAACCTGTCTACTATTTAACTGTTAAATACCTACAAATAATGCAATCAATTGATCATGTCGTATTTAAATAATAAAAGATTACAAGAACGTAAAGGAGGTGCTAACAACATAATGACAAGTTGTCACTGTCACCAATAGAATTTCCAACGAGCCGAATTCATACATATTTGAATGCACCACGTCACCGCATCTGGGTCACTAACATGGCAATTTAATTACACCTATAGAGAATATTCAATCGCCCGAAGGTGTAATTAACTATAATCATGCGTTTTCCGAAGCCTCCAATTTAAACTACGAATTTTCTTGGCTTGTTAGCGTGTATTAACTATCATAGGTCTCCTGCAAGGCACTATTTATAGACCATTTCTATTCCTTTGCAATTGACTTGGAACTGGTTTAGCACAAACAATGTTCCGTGAAAAGCGTTTGATTCTTCAGCACTCTGAGTATTTCAGAGAACAAAAGCGAATTTTCAAGGTCGATCATCAAAGAAAATGCAATGATAACATATTACTTTGGAGGAATATTTGTGAAATTGTTGGTTGTTGACTTGTCTGCAATAAAACTAAAGGTAATCGAAAAAGTAACTATCGAAATGTCAATGAAATACTGGTTAGTTTTGAGACTATTTTGTATAATTAATAAGGTGATTAATAAAATTATAGATTTTTCTTAATCAATTAGATTTACTCACTATGTTATTTTATTACTCGATTGAAAACGTAACACAGCAAAAAATACAGAATAAAATATGTTATTTAGCGATGCAAATAAGATGATTCATGATTGGAAATCTTCCGGGTTCGAGATGAATTCTTGTATATCAATGTAGCGGAGTGTATCTAAACAAATAAAATGGGTATAAACTTTTTACGACGCTTCCCAAGAAAGAGCTTCTAATTTTAGATTACAGCTAAACGTTCGACTTTTATAAGTGTTCCCAAGTAATTTGTTGATCAAACAATTTGGAACTTTAAAAGAATTTGTAATAAAGGTCGTACGAATTTTCTTTCGGAATTTGTAAGTGGGGCAAATTGGTTAATTTGAATCTAAAGTGTCCCTTTCGATAGGCACTATACATACTCGTATTTGAAGCCTGTTCGGGGGTTTGATTGGAAGCAATCAGGGAAACGGATGATAAATTAACTAACTATAGCTATGTACATTGTACTCCTAAGATTGCTATTTCTGAGTTTTTGCTTTTGTATTTTGTTTGAGTGATATTTTGAGATAGTATATTTGTCTAAATTTTGTGTATCTAAGATAGGGCGTTTAAATCTTCTTATACTTCAAGGCTTGCGTGTTCTTAAACTAAATAACAAATAGTTTGTGCAAGGAATAGAGGCCCCTTTCAGACACTTGCTTTTATGACCAGTATAAATGCAATTTTTACATAGATATACGCAATGATCTAATCTGTGACGTCACGCGCCAATAATGCATTTGCAACCGCCTGAATTATTAATTCCCAAAAATAAACCATTTTATCTTTTCTGTTATCTATAAGTATTATATGTACAGTCACGGAATGAAAAGGTTCGTCAGTTTTCAAATTGATTCCTTCAACGAATCGCGAGCACATATTACCTTTTGAAATTATGTTACAGAATAATCTCGAGTTAGAGAAAATAATCTTTAACTGTTCGTCAGTAAAGTTCAAAATTATTCAGATCAAAGTTGTTTGACGATTTAACTTGTCAAGAAGATTATTATGATCGATAAACTAAAACCTTCTTGTTGGTTCAACCTGCCATCATCTATTAAATAAAAGAAACTACATTTTGTAGCATTGCACTGATGGGATAGAAAAATAAACAAGCAAAACCTTATTCGTTAGCAAACGTCATATTTATTTAAATGTTAGCAGCACTGTCAGTTTCTTGCACGGTTATGTTGGCAGGTTTGACTCTTACAGTAACTTACCTAGTGCAAGCGAAAACCGACATTAAGGTGACGAACCTTTTCATTCCGCGACTGTACATCCGTGTCACCGTGTGTCATCTTCGGCTATTACCACAGCCAGATCTGATACAGCGTGAGTTTATTCTCTGTCCACATCATTAGGTCTTTTAGACTCCTCTTTTTTTACCTAAGTCTGTCGCCATAACAACAATGTTAACAGCATTGTTGTGTTCCGGCAGTTAGAGGTGAGATAGCCAGTTCCTCCGCGGTTGAGGATTCCGGGTGAAGCTCGCTTCCACCTTCGGCCTGATCGTCACTTACCATCAGGTGAGATACAGGCCAAGAGCTTCCTCGTTGTGGATAAAAAGGAAAAAAAGAAAAGAATGTTTGGTGGGAATATTCCCGTCAACTCACCTGTTATCCAGCTCGATGGCCGGGTCAGCGGTGGCCTCAGCGAGATTCGTGACGGACTTGCTCTTGAAGCATTGGAAGTCAACATGGCGACTCTTGGCTTCCACCAGATAAACTGCCTTTGCCTGAAGTAGGTGGTCTAGCAGTAAGACCATCTGCTTCAGACCCAAAGCTCCAGGGTTGGATTCCCAGTAGGGGCAGATTTTTCTGTTCAGTTTGGTTAGTGGTAGGGCTTGTTCTAAGTCCGCCTGGCTAGCTACCACCATCTTACCTAAGTCTGTCGCCATAACAACAATGTTAACAGCATTGTTGTGTTCCGGCAGTTAGAGGTAAGATAGCCAGTTCCTCCGTGGTTGAGGATTCCGGGCGAAGCTCGCTTCCACCTTCGGCCTGATCGTCACTTACCATCAGGTGAGATACAGGCCAAGAGCTTCCTCGTTGTGGATAAAAAATAAATAAAAAAAACTCTACTGCAGGAGCATGACCCGCTTCTTCTCTTGGAGGATTTGGCATACACTCCCCAAGTCCCCACGCTGGCCAGACGAGTTGGGGAGGGTTGGGTTCATCACTGATCGTTTAACCTTTGACGTGCTATTGAGCCGCGCAAAACTGCACCCCCCAACTGCTACGGTTTTCAAATGATGTTTCAAAATGACAAAGTAGTCTTGTCTTAGATCTGAGACATAGCAGTTGACGGAGGTTGCACAGATCTGTGAGACAAAGCATAGGAGAGGTTAAATATTTTCCTATGAATTCACTACGGCCTTCGACATTCCATCGCTTATTATTGCATTCCGGTAAATTATAATTTCTTTAATAACACTGACAGCTGGCAGT